TCTCTAATAAATCTAGAACTCTTGGATAGTTATATCTTTGGGTAGATTAATGAGAGCCAACCATAATCGATATCATTAAAAAAAGATCGATGTACCGATTAATCGAATTCTGAAACATCGAATCGAGCATCGATTATTGAGCGGAAAAAACTTCGGTTTTTGTATAATCGATGAAACATCGCCCATCCCTATAGTGTGCGCATGAACTGGCATAAGTAACTAATGCCCGTATTCATAGGCCGTGGTCCGATTCATGCTGACAACGCTCATGAGCATCATTTGTCTTCGTTTAACATTCGATAAGTAACAAGGATAAAATGATTTTAAGCGCTGTGAGCGTTAATCGAACCGCGGCAATAGTCAGACCTTGTACTTAAGACTTCCTTAAATTTATCTTTAGATGCTCAGTAGCCAATGAAATAATTCGTAGAGTATCTGAAGATAAATTTTAAAAAGCCTTAAATATATAAGGCTTGACTATGAATACGGGCAAAAGTTGAATTTTTGTTTCTTTTTTTAAACACTTTTATATAAATAACAATATGGACACGCGTATCTGGAGACACTGGTAGTGTCTCGGCGCTAAGCTGCGCAGAGCGACACTGCCGTGCCTCCTTTACGCGAACCGACGAGTTGCGGCAGATCGAGATTATCGGATCTCAATAACGGCTGAACCGATCGCGTAATTATATACGTAATATGCACTACGCAATAAATACATGTGTACGAGGACCAGTAATAAAATTGGTTAGAAATGCGCATGGGTACTGAAGCGGGTATACTATCTAAGTGAGAGATAGATATCGTCTACACCCGTGATGTTTTCGCCAGCTCTTAATTAGTAATATAGTAGTATTACATATATTTACTTCCACACGAAGTGACTCCCATCCCACCTCCCCTCTGCTTATAGGGGCGCACGACTTCCATGCGAAGTAACTTCCACACCACCTCCCCCCCCTCCCCTGCTTAGGACCGCACGACTTTCACTTTTCACGCGAAGCAACTTGGCGAGGTGGAGTGAAACTCGCTTCGTGTGGAAATCGTGCGCCCCTAAGCAGAGGGGAAAGGTAGGGTGGGAGTCGCTACGCGTGGAAATCGCGCATACCTAAGTAGGGAGAAGGTAGAGTGCGAATCACTTCGTGTGGAAGTCGTGCGCCCCTAAGCAGGAGGGAGGAGGTGGGATGGGAGTCGCTTCGAATGAACAGTCGTAAAATATATATTTTAAAGTAGGACATTTTTGTTCTATATAGTGGAAAAAAGACATTATTTTTCAAATTTTCTTTCTTAATAACTTTTTAACGAGTAACGAGCGCCGGCTAAAACCAATTGGAAGTTACTCAGGATCACGACCTTGACAACATATGTCAAGATCAAGGTCATTGGAGGAAGGGTCCCCTAATCTGGAGTATTACCATAATTTTATACAGTTTGAAAATAATATTTACGGACCCGTGTAAAGCTTCTCGGCAACACCGTTCTGATCACCAGGCATCGCATTCTCATCCTGCTCTAAACTCTTTAATCGACTGAGCTTCTCCTGCTTCTTGATCTGTTTTTTCTCTCGCTTGCTCAACTTTCTTCGGAAGCTAGAACCTTCGACTGAAATAAAACCGACGCCTTGCGCATTGGTTTTATCGTCGATCCTCTTCAGCAAGAAGCGTCCCTCCCGATCGTCCAAATGCCAATTTAATTGAACTAGTAGTGGTTTTTCTTCTAAATCAAGCTTACGCTCCTCTGTAAACAAAATTCCATATACATTATTATTAACAATAATAAACGATAATAAATGATTTGTACATAAATATATAAAATTATTTATAATTTTATATATTTGTATATAAATGGACACATTTTATATATAATTATATATAATTCTATATAATTTATATATAAATTATGTCCATTTATATACAATTATATAAAATTATATATATTTTTATACAATTTTATATATAATTAGATATAAAATATTTTTTTCCTCGTGTCGTACTTTAATCCTCATGGTCTGTTCGGATTTATTATTATATAGTTGTACTGTTCAGGTCAATACAATAATGATCCGACTCGTTATTTTATACATTTGCAAAGATATAAAAACAAAACAGATTGTTTGAACTTTTTTATTATTGAAAATCTAAGAATAAACAATAAAAAATGAAAAATACATCCATCAAAAACAAAGAAAAACATTTTTTAGTTTGTACAGTTTGAACAAAAATAATTTGAATGTGCCTTACAGATGTTTCTTGCAATTTGTACATACAATGTTTGTTTTATTATCATTGTTTGTGGACTACAATATGGTATATATGCAAAAACATATATAGTGTATATTAATAATTCGAGATTGAATTATTTAAAGCAATGAAGATCCAGCTTCGACCGTAATAGGTATTTTTCTAGTATTGATTGGGTTCTCACATATGCGGTCTAAAATAAAGATTCTTAATATTTATATTACGTTTACATTACGTCGTCTGAAAGAAGACATTGTTTTCCTTATTCTACTGATTATTGCGAAGAATATTACTAAGGCCTCGGTGGTCTAATAGGCATAGGACGCTCGTACGGAATACAAGAGATCCGGGTTCAAGTCCCGGCTGAGGTAATATTTATCGCAATAAATTTATTAACAGTTTTAACATATTAACATCTTTATAATATGATGCTTGATGGTAGCATTAAATTATTAAATTGCTTGTCAATTTAATTCGCGATTACTAGAGTAGTTTTATTGCATTTATAGTCCGGAAAAACAATTCGGCGCGCATTTTGAAAAGACTATAATATGGCATATATGTAAGTACATATATAGTGTACACAGGGGTGAGCAGTATTTGAAATACAATGTATTTAAATACTTTTTTGGAGAGTATTTTGTATTTTGTATTTAAATACTTTTCTTTGAGTATTTTGTATTTAAATTTGTTGTAAATTCTCGGTGGTGCCTGGCAATCCGGGATCAAAAGCTAGAGAGCCTATATTGAAGAGGTATCCAATCAACGTATTGCTTTTCCAAAAGAACTGTACGTTTATTGGATATCGCGCGCGCATATCGCGTCGCGCATCGCGCTGATGTGCTGGAGCCATAATTCTAACCTTTTCTGAGCGCCACTGTGCCCCAAGCCCAAGCCAATTAGCACGATTCGAATCACAGTGACTTGACTGTTGGCGACTCTCTTATTAGTGGCTTTCTTTCTAGATATAAGTCGTGTTGTATGCGTTATGCCAGTGTCTCAGTGTTTAATAATTAAGTTCGACATTGTGTATCGGTATCGTCTATCAACGATGTAATGACAAAACACTTCTGTTGAAATGTGATGATAAACTAAAATGAAAAAAAGTATCGAGTTTTCTCTTGCAAGAAAATAGAACGTGTTAGAACTTATGGTGAAATCTGATTTCACCTTGGATTTCACTATGTCACAACCGTCAAGTAAAGTCGATAGAGACAATGACGTCAATGACAATATTGACACAGGGGTGGGCAGTATTTGAAATACAATGAATTTAAATACGTATTTAAATACATTTTTGTATTTTGTATTTAAACACTTTTTTGGAGAGTATTTTGTATTTTGTATTTAAATACATTTATTTGAGTATTTTGCCCACCCCTGAGTGTACCTCTGTTAAATTGGCACCTTTTTAAAAAAAATGAAATTTTGGTCACAGTTCCGAATGCACCCCGAAGAGTTCTGGATTTCCTGCCTAAAATTAAGAATAGTTCCGGCGAATTAATATTAAAAAAAAAATTAAAAATTTGGGGTGCTAACTTCACAAAACGCAGAACGAAAAATCGCGATATCTTCTAAACTGTTAGTCCTAGCGTTTAAAATGAATAACTTTTGATAGAACCCTTGGGGTGCATCCAAAACTGTTAACAGAACTGTAGTGTTAAAAAATTTTTTGTCTCTCAAATGTGACAAAATCAGAGACATTGAAAAAATCGCGATATCTCTTAAACTGCTGGTCCTAGCGCTTCGAGCGTTAATAACTTTCGTTAGAACTCGTGGGGTGCTATCTAGAAGTGTCATCAGAAATGCCAAAACTTACATATTTTTTATCTCTATGAAAGACACACACACACACGCGCGTACACGATCAGATTCCTGCCACGTCCACGCCGTTGATTCCGGGTTACGCCGAGAGCAGGACACACAAACACATACACGCGCGACAAAGATTCACATAAACACGTGGAGGTCCATGAAAACTCGCGCAAAGAATATTTTCTTGCGTATATTTACGGCGACAATTTTACGGCTAGGACCAGCGGTTTAAGAAATATCGCGATTTTTTCAATGTCTGATTCTCTCACATCTGAGGGACAAAAAATTTTTTAACACTACGGCAGACCTGTTGACAGTTCTGGATAACATCCCAAAAGTTCTATCAAAAGTTAATATCATTTTAAGCGCTAGAACTAATGGTTTAGAAAATGTCGCGATTTTTCGTTCTGCATTTTGTGAAATTTGTAAATTTTTTAATTCTTAATTTTTTTTTTTAGTATTAATTTGCCGGAGCTATTCTTAATTTTGGGCAGGAACTCCAGAAATCTTCGGGGTGCATTCGGAACTGTGACCGAAATTTCATTTTTTGTAAAATGAGATGCCAACTACACAGTGGTATATAGTGTATATTAGTAACTCAAGATTGGATTATTTAAAGCGATGAAGATCCAGCTTCGACCGTAATAGGAATTTTTCTAGTATTGATTGGGTTCTCACATATGCGGTCTAAAATAAAAATTCTTAATATTGATGGACAATGTTTGCAACGAGCACGTTTAGTAGTCGCAAATCCTATCGTAGACTCTGAAGCAATGATTTGATTTGCTTGTTTCATTTTTATTACAATATTACGCGACTCCTCACTTCTTGGCATATATTTTCTGGATATAACATGGGCATTTATAAGAAACTTGCAAAATCCAAAGATAATCTTCTCTTAATGAGTTTATTTTCATTTCAATGAGGATTTATTATAGTCCACAGGATGAATGCATTATATGTGGAAATGTCGATCATATTGTAAAATACTACCATTAGCTAGCGATTTGTTTTCCTCTTACAAGTATATGTACTCACAAATTGATCAAGAGTAATCTACAGCTCATTTTGTTACATTGTAGTCCAATATAATTTGCAATTTTTGTTCTTCCTATTGCTAATTGTTTTGTCACGATGCAAGGTACTTATGAAAACAACATTTTTCTTTTTCTTTGGGACATAATTTACTACTGTATCTTTTGTAAATTAAAAGAAGAGCTGTAAACGTTTTTATTGCTTATTTGTTGTGGAGGTTCTGTCTTATTTTTTCTTGTACTTCTCAGCATCGTAACACGATTTTTTTAGAAGCAATTGCCCCAACTTATATGAGGTAAAGAAATTATCGCATGTAAAATTATGTCCTCTCAGTTCACTACTAAGATCACACACAACTCGCATGCCCTGATTTTTTTTTGCTTTCTGTCCAGGATCTTTTCCCATATAAATTTGTAATTTCAAAACAAACGAAGTTTTATTATCACATAGAGTCCAAAATGTAATTTCATATTTTGCTGATTTGCTGGGTATATATTGCTTGAAACGACACCGATTAAGAAATACTACCAATTGTTCATCTACAGTTACATTTTCTGCAGGATAATATAGTTTTGGAAGAATCTCCACCTATTTTTCCCAAATATTTCTAACAGCTGCAAGTTTGTCGGCCTGTTTTCTTTCTTTCCTCGTAGATTTATCGTCAAAACGAATGACTCGAGATATCAAATAAAAAGAATCAAGTGACATTGTTACTCTAAAAATATTTCGACCAGTTTCCTTATCCGATAAACTCTTTGTTGTTTGCTTATTGGCTTTACTATATAAACCTATAAACTCCAGCCAATAACAAAAGACCAATACAAGCTTGGAAAGTATCAATATCAAAATGTTTTCATTTTTGTACATAAACTCACTGATCCTCGATATTAGTTATTTTTATAATTTTATTTTGAATTGTGGTACAAAGTACGATTTTAAATGCATTTTTTATGTATCCTGATTCTTGTACACGCATATCTGGTAACTCCTGGAATATTTTTGATTACGTTTTCCGTAGATAGACGACCACGCTGTTGAAAAGGGACAAACATCTATTGTACCATATTATCATCTTTTGAAGAAATGTATTATGCAGCACTTGTAGTTTGTTCGATATCTGCAGTAGTATCATCATCGAACTGTTCAATATCAGATTCCGCACTTGTGTGATTTTTATATTCCGAAACCGATTCTTCACTATCAAATATTTTTTTAAGTACTCGTAGCCCACTGAAGTATTTATGTCTTGCCATGACTAATGCAAAATTCAGACTAAATTTATAAATGTTTATGCGAGATTTTGTTCGTATCGCACACTGACAAGTATTGCTGCGTGCGAATTATGATAGTATGTATGCATGTATGTGACAACCGTCAACTCTTGCTGACGCGCGACACAGGATATCGTATAGGTCGCGGACTAAATACACGATGTAAACGTAGCCAATATATCATAAGACTAAACAAAGCTGAGAAATATTTACACATTTTATCCGATTTTCAGTCTGACTTTCATCCGTTATCTCACTATCCCGCGCATAGTCTAAATGTCAATCGACATTTAGTCTGTGCGCGAGTAGGTGGTAAGAGGCAGGAAGCAAATTGAAAATCGACCAAAATGTGCAAATTTTTTTTTAGAGTACCTAT